GTAGAGGACGACATTTCGAAAGTCTTCCACCTTGACCTGAAGACAAAAGGCAGAAGACTTTTGAACATCGTCCTCTACAGTTGTTGCTGTCTATTTGAAACTTAGATTCATCAACATAATTATGATGTGAAACAACATTGTAATTTTTCTTCTTTAAGGGCTATGTAAGAAGGGTTAAGAGTGATGGCAGTTATCATGAAGAAATTCTCGGTTCCTGTGCAGATACTCGTAGATGTGACTGAATACTTAACTGAAGCCTACCTTCGTTCAACATGACAGATTCAAATATGCTGAATGTATATGTAGTAAAATTTGAAGATGTACGGCTAAGCACATTATATTAAAATGGTTTTGGAGCCTCACCATGCTGGTACAGTAAATGTTCCCTCTAGTTTTTTCAATTCATGTGCGGAATGAATTATTTTTATGTGCTATCAGATTGTTTGTTTTTTCTGAAGGTCGGTGGTATTTTTAGATCATCGACTCTATTGGATCATTAGGCCTCTTTGCAATGCTACCAGTTAGTTATTTGGGCTTTAAGCCTATCGACCGCCAAGGGTCATTAAAACTATAAATATGTTGAGACTCCTCACCTAAGGATGTGCGTGGCTGGAATAATTAAGTGTGTCGCACTTGATTGGTTGTTGTGCGGCCACACAGCTTAGAGGGAACAATGGTTACAGTCCGTATCTGCATATATGGTTATACTCTATCTGATAGTTGTACATCTTGATAATAGCCTTGCATCATAGTTCCCATTACAAAAGGCTCCATCATAAGACTATCATGTCCAAATCAATCTCATTCCTCCCTGTATCGTTTCCATAATCCATCTAGTGTATGTTCGAATTGTTGCTGGGACAAGTGAACAGCCTTTATCATTAACCCTTGTATTCACAGTTAAGGTGAAACTTGTTGCATGTCTCTTTCTGAATGGTCCTGGTGCCTTAAGTTGATCCATATTCCTTTGTTTTCCAATGGCTATTTTTTTTTAATTTCCAAGAGCTCTTCATCAGGCAGGATACAAGGAATAAATAACTTAAAAAAGAAAGAATTTATACTGATTTTTGTTGGTAGCATGCTTATGTACAATGCAATTAATCAAGCACAATACTATTATTGACAACAATACAAGTTTAACAATGTGGACAAAAATTAGAAATGACATTTTCAATGTTAGTTTCTTTCTCCTCGTCACACCGTTATACTTATATTGTTGCCAACGATAAAAGTGTACCTTAGTTATACGCTGTTCAGATGCAGTGATACTAGCTGGAATTCCTTTTTTATCCATAATTCTCATCTCCCACCTCAAGGTGAGTTCTAGAAAGGTTGTTAATAAATAAAAAGGAATGTATTACTCGTTAAAATTGCATCCTTTACAACAACAAAAAATACCCATGTACAACAACCTCAAAACTACAAAATGATCCTTAAATTGAGTTTTGCTAAAGATGTTTTTTTTTTACTTGAATATTTTTTTAATTATAAAGAAAGCAGTGTGGAAAAGCAGCCTACCTCTTTTAGTAGGATAAATTACACAAGAATTTTCAGCATCTCCTGGTATCTATAAAAATGAAAATAAAGCTATATAATACACAAACACCAAATTAGGTGAAAAAACATGGATTTGGCAAACGTTCTAATAAAATCCAGACAAGTTAAAAAAGTCTACAAACTTCAGAAAAACTATTAAATACCTTAGTCAAGAAGTATACGATGGTTTTCTAGACTCGAAGTTTACTTTAAATATTTTAAAACTTGATGTTTAATCATATGCTTGTTCACAAAGCTACATAAGGGCTAACTGTATACAACCACTTATTGAACTGATAGACTAGAGACTAATCAACAACACCCATCCTGCCACCACCTATTGGAATACTCTTGTTGTTCTGTTAGTGGTAGTACCTAATTGTTGCTCTTATATCACACCCACAGCCCCAAAGTGTGGAGCTCATTTTTCTGTCCCACTGGAACACAAACCACGAATCTTTGGATTAACAGTCCAGGCATACTAACTGCTAGGCCACAACTGGCATATCCATTCTTAAGCTTAATGTTAATCCACGAAACTAAAAAATTACTCAGAATAAAAATTCAGAAACCAGCTCACTCCTAAAAAAAAAAAAAGAAAGAAAAGTTTGGCTTCCAAAAGCTCTCGAGTTATCATTTTTTCAATATTAATGATTATTTTAGTGTTTAACAAAAGAAATCTGGACAATTTTTTTTACATGTTCTAAATATGTTTACAACCTATCATTCCACAAGGAAATAAATATTCTGTAATTTCTCCATAAATAAAATTACTTTATTGCGACTGAACTGTTTTGAAACCAAGTTTCCGAGGGGATTCTCGCTACTTAAAATACAACCACATTGTTCTTCTTCTCTGTAATGACCAACTAATTTGGGGGTTGGATGGTAATTTTGGAAGCCTAGAATTTTTACACTTGGGTGGCCAGCCCAGACAGTAATTATATAGGATGAGCATGTTCGTCAATGAGAATTCAAACGCGTATCCTTCAGATTGCAAGTCGAGCACCCTAACCACTAGGCCATGCCAGGTCTTAAAACATAATCACACTGATTACAAAAAAAACAATTGCTATATTCTATGAATATTTTCTTTCATATTATATATATATATATGATAACTCATTACACGTGTGCATAGATAAAAAGAATGAAATGCTTGAATCACTTAAGTGCCAAAAAAATATCACAGAAGTACAAAAACTTTTTCATTTGAAGATAATTATCTGTCATGATTAGTCACTATTAATGTTTATGAATATTTTGTTTAGACATCTCATTCAAACTGTACTATAACACGTTTTTACTGCTGTTAAGATTTACCACTTCCAGTGAATTTCTCATATTTTTTCAACATAAAGCATTACTGTTTTATTTTGAGAATGTACTTTTTTCTTTTACTTTTCATAAACATGTACGTGTAATTAGACCTGTTATAAAACAGTACACTTAGGCATCATTTTAGACATGTTAATTAATGAAAACAATGACATTAAAGCCTCTAGATGCAGTTTAGTCTACTAATAGAAGAATTATTCAGGTTTGTTTGTTTGTTTTTTCAATTTTGTGCAAAGCTACATGAGGGCTATCTGCGCTAGCCGTCCCTAATTTAGCAGTGTAAGACTAGAGGGAAGACAGCTAGTCATCACCCACCACTAACTCTTGGGCTACTCATTTACCAACGAATAGCGGGATTGACCATCACATTATAATGCCCC